CAGCCGCTCTCCTGCTGGCTCCTCTGCCATGTCGGCCCACTTGGCCGCTGGCAGCGGCACAGACCCCTGCTCCTTCAGCGCTCACCCCTATGGCAAACCATGAGAAAGTCCGAGACGCCCCTGGTTCGCTCACAAGCCAAAGGACTTAAAAAAAATGCCAGGAAATCCTTTTTGTGAGGAAATCACACTAATTTGTCCCTCCCTCTGGTTCAGTCCTGGTGTTGCAGGGACTGGATTGCTCCTTTCTAGGTCAGACATTGAAGCAGGGCCAGGACCTCGTGGCATTTTATTTTCATCTGTATTTTAATTGATGAAAAATGCAGGTGTCTTTTTTTAAAAGCTATTTTAAAAATGGTTTTGGTCAGAGTTCTGATTTAGAAACAAACTCAATGCCTCCGATCTGCTAAAAAGCATCCAAATGATGTTTGCAGAATAATTTTCAAGCAGCTTGAACACAATTATTTCCATTCATACCAGCTCCTAGAAAGGTCTCCCTTTTTTCCTGATTTTGTTTGTAATTCTGTGAAGGCTACATTTACTTCCCTGCCAATGCTGCTCTGAAGTCAGATGATTATTAATTATATTTATTTACTTATACAATCCCATAGGCATACGGAGCAGTTCACAGACAAATACCGCCCTGGGTCCCTGATGTAGGGATCTCGAATCAAAGGTAAGCAGATACTTCTGTGATAAATGTGAGCTAACAGCAGCAGGAGATTAGGAATACACTGTGTTTCCATGCATAGAGCCAGCACCACGGATAATCCACACCCTGTTAAAAGCACCAGTATGGGGAGGTAAATCCTTAGGTAACCCCTACCTCACATAACCTGTAGAAAATCTAAAAAACACAAGTGGGGAGCTACTAGGGAATAAGACATGGGGTACGGCAGCCTGGGGCAGGGAGATGCTGCGTGCGCAGAAATCACAGCATCTGGGGCTGGCTTTATAATAAAGCGAAGAGGGTCTGAGATAATTGTCCTGTTGCACCAGGTCACAAAACTTGCCAGTGGCCATGATGCATCTGCCTCAATCTGCAAAAGGCCTGAAACAAGAGCTCCGTGGACCTCTTCTTGTAGCACTGGCGGTCAAAGATAGTCTTCTCAGCTGAGACAGGAGTGCACAGCGAGCACACCAGAGAGGCTGGGCAGTGCCATGGTGCTGCTTGCAAGGAAAGAACATGGGTAGCATTTGCCCAGTTCTTGCAAAAACACTGCCCAGTTTGGCACTGAGTTCACCCTGCCTGTCCTTGCTGCAAGCTGCAATTCCAATGCAAACCAGCCCTCGTCCCCAGCAACAGGGTCGGCAAGGTGGCAGCACCAACACGGCTGGGTCCTGATGCTCCGCTCTCTGGAGCTTGTTTGGGCTACACACCACAGTTTATAAGCAGCACAGCTGCAGAGATGTTCCAGGGGGTCAGAAAATTCCCAGAACTGGAACTTGTCAAGCTGATGTATTGATCTGGAGTGGACTGAATAATGCTCCATCATTTATTTATGGGGAAGTGCCCGGCACACTTCACAAAAACAGGTGTCCGGCAGTCACATTAAGGCAAGATTTAACATCCCGCATCACACGAACAGGGCACCTGTGCAGAGGTCAGGATGTTCACTTCCACGGGGGGCCCCACAAATCCTTCCTGCACACGCAGGGAGGGACAGGGCTGGTCCTCACGAAGCTGCTGGAGCTCTGCTAGAGCAAGGCGCTGATGCTGACGGAGCCAGCCCTGTCCTTTCCGCTTGTGCCGATGCTGTGATCTGCTTGGCCAGCTCCCAGCCTCTCTGCCCTCTGCTAAAGCTGCTGGCCTTGCACTGGCCTGGGTGCTTTAGCTGAAGGGCAGGAGGGAAGAGGGGCTCTGTGCTTTGCGACAGCCCAAGCGTGTCCACAAACTACAGCAGAAAGAACTGCCAGGACCAGTGCAGAGCCTCCTTCTGCCCTGCCCAGCCCGACAACCCTGTCATTTTTCATGTCCCACCAAGAGATTTTAAATGTTTCACCCACTAATTGTAATTTTAATATTAATATGGACACTTTCAGGCAGGGAGGAAATATTTCCTTTTGGAAAAAGTCCTCCCAGGAGCAAAGGGGCTCAGCGGTTTGAGAAGATGCTGAAGGTGGGTGCTAAGGAATTAAAAAAGTGGTGAATTTGCTGAAAGTTTCCATTAAGAATTTCAAAAAGATGCCTAAGAAAAACATGTTTTAATACAGATAGAAAGTGTCCCAGAGATCTCCCCAGCTGCCCTTGGCTTTGGCAAGCAGCGGGCGCTGGCTGTGCTCGCCCAGGAGGAGGCCAGGCACAGCAGCCTGTCGATCGGAGTCGACCCTCCTGACATTTTTG